AGCAAGATTTATCTACCGACGAACTCAACTCAATTGGCCCCCCTGCAGGCGGAAGACGAACTAGAAGCTCCAACTGTTAATAAGAACAGCCTTTTCTTGTTCTATTCATCAAGCGGGTATCATTTAGCAGACAGATCACGGTCCATACCCAGATCTACTTCTAGCACAACCTTTCCAAGCTCGGACAATGTCCTGATCGGCTCAACAAGACCAAACCTGAAAAAGTCATCCATGGTCTTCGGGTCTGTCCTCCACGCAAGGATCAAACTAGTCTCTTTCTCCCGACCAGGAAGGCTTTCAATGTCCTTCAACATCTCCTTCGCGAGTACCAGAGGCTCCCAGTCAGCTGACGGCGCGAGGTCGCTGTAAAAGTCGATTATCGACAATACCATCTGACACAGAGAGACCTGGTCCAGATTCTCCAGCAATTTGACGCTTTCGGGCGGAAACTTCTTCAGCGCAGCCATGTCTCTAGCAAGCTTGGTGAGCTTGCCAGGGTTGGGCGCCGTATTCGACAAAGCGATGGCAATGGCAGACAATCCCTTGAGTCTTGAGGGGTGGAACGGCGCGACATGTTTGAATGGTTCAATATCGTACGCGGACAAGCAAGCAATAGCGAGGGCGCACTCGTGGTTCCCCCGGTCCTTTCCAAAGTAGTACGCTGCCTCGTCAACCACCTGCGCAAATGGTTCAATGGCCCATTTGCCCGTGGTCACGAAATACGATCCAGTCTTGTACGCTTTCCTCAGCCACTCACGCTTCTCGTCACGTGGCATGTCGCGCGGAAAGACGGGCATGATCTTTTGGATGTTTAAGCCCATCAATCCCTGTGGAGGATCGGTTTTGCCGCCGCCGGGTGGATTATTGAACCGCTCGATGTCAGGCATGACGCTCATGCTGTTGAGGTCAATGGTCGGGTCGTTCATGGCGATTTGGTACTCGTCTAAATCATGCTCGCACTTGTAGCAAGAACACTCGAAATGATAGAGGTCGAGCTCGCCCTGTCTCTTGCCCTTAGGTTGTGTGTGGTCTGGCATAGGTTACTAAGGGGCAATCACGAAGCTACGAGGGTCAAAAGCCAACTTACCGGCGTAAGAAATTTCAATTTCATCGCCAGGGTTGATGAACGTGGCTGATCGAAGTGTGGCAGACCGTCCTCCAAACTGTACCATCGCGTTGGGCACACAGGAGTGATTGATCATGGCCAACGTCGTATCCAAAAAGACACCGCCCGTCTCATAGTACTCCTCCGTCCGACTGAAAGCGTTCGTCTGAAACTACAGGATGTCAGTGCAACTCCTGTCCCCATCGAAAACGCCATTACCTTGCATAGAACCTGGAAAGACTCTTCTAGCCCCTTTAAAGTAATGGCATCAAGCCCACAGCACCTCAAAACCCCATGCGCCTGAAGCTGCAAGTCCATCTCGTCGTTCTTTCTCCACTCCTCAACGTGCCCCTCCAAAGCATCAAACGACTCCTTCAACTTCGGTCTCAGCATCACCTGCGCCCCGGCCCTGATGGGAGTGGGCACCCAATCGGGCTGATGGGCCGGCTTGACCTCATGCAGGAACTGGATTGCCTTGCACTCGACCTTGTGGATCAGCGTCCAGTTGGCCTTCTGACAGGCAGCGCCGCAGTAGGCGACCGTCTTGCAGCCCGTGCAAGCGCGCAGCTTTCCCACACCCGCGTGGCCTTGCCTTTTCAGGCAGTGGTTGCAATACTCAAGCGCGCGGTGGCCTGGCGGGAGGACTACGGCCGGTTCGTCGAAGAGAGCAATGACGTCGCCCGGCTTGAAGCGGCGCGTCGCGTGTATGGAGCGGCCGCCTTTGGCACCGCCCTTGGAGCCACGGACTTCAATGCCGTCATTTACGGCAGGCATGATTGAGAATATATATTGATATTATCAGCAAAAAGAGGTTTGAAGCTTTTCTAAAAAAAGCCTGGATGGCAGATTCCAGAGACATGCGATGTTTCCATGGAGCGCCACAAGCGTCCATATGTGGCTAGTGCCATCGACTGCCGATTAGCGATAAAAGCAGGCACCGGGTCAGCCCTGTGGCTGTGTGCTGCGTCCAATGCCAGCAGGATCTCACCCGCGAACAACGGACTGGCAGATCACTGCTTGTGCACAGACCCCTCTATCACCCCGCCTTCTGCTCATCCCACCAACACCGTTTCTTAGTCTGGTCTCTCCTTCTGTTCTGAGCCTCAAAAAAAGCTGACAAGCTTCCCCCGCCCAAACGCGCATCCAAGCTCTTGCAAAAAAATCTCCACTCACTTTCCCCAAAACCAAAGAACAAAAAAATCACCACAACCAACAACTGCATTTGCGCATTCACACCCCGACACTTACAACACCCCCGTCTTTTAAATCCCAAGTCCAAACGCTACACGCGACACGCGCCTCTGATGACTACCATCGAAAACCTCAAGACAATCGACCCCTTCGCTGATGCCGAAGAGGGCGAGGGCAACAACAATCCCAAGAAAGGCCAGGACTATATCCACATCCGCATCCAGCAGCGCAATGGCCGCAAGACCCTCACCACCATCCAGGGCCTCCCCAAGCGCTTCGACCAGAAGAAGATCCTGAAGGTCATCAAGAAGAAGTTCGCCTGCAACGGTACCATTGTGGAGGACCAGGACCTCGGTGAGGTCATTCAGCTCCAGGGTGCGTCGCAAACCTTCCCCTCCAATGCCCCTTGGCCCTCCCAACAGCTTCGCCGTAGCTTCCAATCCTTTCGCGCAAATTCTAACTTACTTTTCCCCTACAAAACAGGCGACCAGCGCAAGAACATTCACGATTTCCTCGTCGACAAGCAGGAGGGTCTCGAGATGGACTCCAAGGTAAGCACGCGACTCTGGACCCCACCTTCCCACCCTTGAACCCCTCCATGATCAACCACGAGATCCCGTTCCACCTCGCCACGCCTTGTCAGAGCTCAACGAAGACAGCGGCTAACCTCTTTTCCCTCTCTAGCTTGTCAAGGTCCACGGCTTCTAAAGAAGCCGTTACTGCCAGGAGGCGCCGTCTCCCCCTCGCAGCCGACCGGATTCCGGTATCCTCGAGCCGATACGAATACCGACCCCCCGTCTTCCTGCCTACGACATCGAGCTTCGTGAAGAAAGCCTGGGTGTCACCTTGGAATATGGGCTCTGTGGTCCGAAAGTTCGGTTCTGGGGATGCGAGAGAATCTTAAAGGTGCCTGCGGGAGATCGAATCTCAATGGCCCTAGCACAATGGGGTTACTGGATTGGCGCTCCTAGGAACTGGCATGGGACTTGCGGTTCGCATGGGCTTGAGGTATCAATTTTTCTTATGATGGTTCGCTGCTGCTCTCTTGAAGCCAGAGTCAGTGGCCAAACAATATCAGCTGGGGAGACTACAATCATCGGCCTTATGCTAGGTAATGGAATAAGAACCTCTACGAGCTTTACCCTCAATTCTGTCGGACAGACAACATTGAAACATGTCGTCAATGTGCCATGATAACGCAAACCAGTTGTGAAGCTATCAAGACCATTAGAAAAACTTTAGGGCATTTGTCACAGACTGCGGTTCTACGGTCTTGTATTGAATACTGTGGCTTGATTCCCAAAATGCGCTACTTGAACTCCGTAACCTTCAATACTAATGACGCTAATGTATAAGACTTCTTTCTGCCATGAGTCCCCCCAGTACCAAGACAGAGGCTTCTCTCAAAGCCATCAACGCAACGCTGTGGATTATCAATATGCCTTATCGCCATTTCGCTGGGCAGCGAAAACAGTAACAGCTATGCAAAGAGCAAATGCAGCGTTGTAAGCAGTAGCCACTCCTCACTGCCTACCATTTTTCCAATAATCCAGTTGTTGACTCACTGACTTACCCCACAGATTCACTTGTTCGCGATATTCAAGGAAGCCTTCATCTGATCTGAGAGGCTCGAAAGGCTCTTCAAAATGTCTTGGTGGGGGTTGAAGAGCGTCCGCCCGAGACCCTCCGTCGCGTCTCAGTAAGTACTTTTCTAGAGTGTCGGGGCTTTTGCCGGCGTCGTTGCTGTCGTCCTCGCCGCTGTTCCTGTTAACGTCCCCGTCCCCGTCCCGGTCCTCGCCAGATTCCTCGGGTATAGTACTCAAACGGGACTCATCCGAAGAGACATCATCAATAACATTGATGCCATGAATGCCTTTGACTTCATTGATCTTATCAGGCTCGTCAGACTGCTCGGAGGACCCATCATACTCGTCGTTGAAGTTGTCCGGAGTGACTGGTGTGGTCCAGATCAAATGGCCGCGAGATGCTTGAGTGACGGGTGCTTGGGTACCGGCCGCTAGTCTTTGAGAATCGTCTTTCCTGTTATGCTTTTGAGAATCGTCTTTGCTATCCTTCGTCAAAGACCCCGGGGTTTTACTGTTGCGTGCGTCTTCAAGCTCCGCTTTGAGCTTTTTGGCTTCCTCTTCTTTGGCTTCCTCTTCGAGTTCTCTCCGTATGCTTTCTGCCTGCTCGAGGCACATGAGGCACCTGCAGATATAGTTGGGAGTTGCCAGAAAGATTTCGTCGCCCTTTTTGAGGTCACGTGTGGCAAACATGTCGGGCCCACGGATCTCTGCGTTACATCGTGGATCGCCTCTGGGAACACAATGGCTCTCGTCGGTCCATACCTTGAGGCCTATGACCCGGAAGCCCAAGGTGTTCATGAACCTGCAAAGTATTCCGTGGTCAAGGGCCGTGATCTTGTTCGGGTCAAGAGGCATGTATTTCATCGCAGGAAAGTGCTGTGCGCACTCTAGGCGCAATTTGACTGCATTTCCGCGCTCCTAGAAGCGGCAAAGCACATGGGTCTCCATGATAAGCTGGTCCTTGATGTAAAAGTACGGCCGGTTATCCTCGTTCAAGGTGGACATCATCTGCCCGGCCGAGTAGTCATCCGGTGAGTGACGTGCTCCGTGCTTAGGCTCGTCCAGAGACAGGAAGATTGAATTTGGCTTCCAGGGAGGCAGAGGCAGGGTGGTTGTCCATGGGCACTCTCCAAATGGTGGCGCCATTTCTGACGAGTCTACCGGTTCACGCTTTGGTAGCACCAGCGCTTTTCGGGCCGACGACGTTGGTGGCTCTGGCGTCGGTGGCTCTGGCGTCGGTGGCTCTGGCGTTGGTCCCAAGGACGACAGGGAAGACGACGACGACGAGGCCGCCGGCAACTGGGCTGACGACATTGGTCGCTCTGGCGTTGGTCCCAAGGACGACAGGGGAGACGACGACGACGCCGGCAACGCCGACAACGGTGGCGGCGCTGTGGGCATAGGTGGTCTTAGTTGCCCCGAGTTTCGCTGCTCTAAGATCATCGCCACGCGTTCAAGAAACTCTCCGACCAAATTGGTATCCTGACTAGGATCAACAACCGCGTTTGGGTCCATGATGTATGAGGTCGATAGTAATTAAGGCAGAAATGATGATCGATGGATATTGGCAGTGTTAGCGTTACATCCAAGAAGAAGTCTGGGGGCGACGAGGACAGAAACGAGGAGAGAAACGGAAGAGGTTAAGACGGGGGGGTTGAAGTCACAGATCAAGGGATATGGCACCTGCCTGCAAGACCGGAGTGGAAAACGCCTTCTATGAACACATCCTACATGGCTAATGAGGAAGTCCACTGAATCCAGCTTCCTACCTTAGCAGCAGCTCTTCCCTCTCTTGGCTCATCACTGTCGTGGTGTGGCAGGCACAACTTTAACGGGGCATGTCGGTCCCGCTCGCCAGTACTTCCACACATCATCGACCTTGCCAGAGAAATTGATCAAGTTGGAAGGAAGTCGAGACTCGCGACATCCTGGCGAGCAGTCAACGTAACAAATGAACTGAAAGCCTTGATTCAACCTCGGGTCGATCTATGTAACGGTATCATACAACACCACCCCTCGCTCATTCCTGCTTCTTCGCAAGCAGCTGGGCTTTCCGCTCCTCCTCGTCGAGATGTTGCTTCCTGTAGTGAGCAACAACGTGGTCCAGGTTGGTCTGGGAGCCAGCAACAATGTTGCGGGCAGCGTGACTCGACATGGCCCTGCGTAGAAAAATTGTGTTAGCCGCACTGCATCCTCTGGGCTTTCCAAGCCAGTGTCCAGTCATATCATCGTGATTCGGGAAGGCTCACTCAGGGAATCGGAGGTCGACGTCGCGGTTGGCCGGGGTGGAGAAGAAGAGCAACCTGTCGAAACCGGCCTGCTCAACGGCCTTGGTGTGAAGGTGGCTCCTCTCGGCCCATGTCTCCTGGTAGTGCCAGTACTCGTGGATCTTCTTGGTGAGGAATGGCGGCTCGCCGTCCTTGCCGGGCTGGCTGATCTTGTACATGAAGTACGCAGCGGGAATGACGGCAACGGTCGCCCAGAAGAAGTTCTACAACGCCAAAAACAGCTCAATTAGCTTCCAAACTCTCCGCATCGACGGCCAATTGGCGCAAGAACGTACTCCGATGGGCTCCTCGACGTTGTGGGCGTGGTGGTGGCCGTGGTCGCCTCCGGAGGCGTAGGATCGCGATTGGCGCAGCCCAGTCAGGCGGGACTGGCGCGCGATGCAGGCACCCCGCGTTCGAATGGCCTGCATCGTGAATGACGTTGCGGGACGGTGTCAATTGACGATGGGAATCGGGTCGTCGTGGGGATTGAGGAGGGAGCTTTCGGGTGTGGAGGTGATTCCCAAGGTTCGGTAGTCGGGGAGGAGCGTCACTTTTCGCGGTTTAGCGCCGCAGCGGCTGTGGCGGCTGTTTTGACCAATCACGGCTTGCCGAATTCAAATAAGAGAATCGCCTCTCAAAATGGGTACCACGGCCTTGAGCATGGGGCAATGAGACAACTTGGCCAGACGGATGAATTCGATGAATTTCTATTTCGTGATGGTAAACTGTCCTTTTTCCCGTTGACTCATTTTCTTTCATAAACCCAATTATAAGAGTGCATGCACTTGTCTGTCGCATCAGCATCTCAAACCCATCTTGGCTTTAGACTTTCGACACAACTCTTATTGAATTCAGTACCTTGTTGCCCGTGCTCACTGTTCTCATACAATAACACTGGGTCTCATCATCTCTCGCCGCAAACGGGGCGACAGCGACGTTGACTGAAGAGGTCAACCTCTCTTCGGAACTACATATCACAAAACCACAATTCATAAATTCAAGATGGCATCAAGACCAACAACCCGCGCATCTTTCCTCCCTCTCACTATTTTCATGGTCGTCTTCGGCCTTCTCATCCTCGTACCCACAATCGCCGCTTCATCACACGTATCAGCGGCACCGGCAGCACCCTCGCCATCGGCCGATGTCGAACTCATCTGCCACACCGACAACCCGGCGGAATGTTACCCCAAGATCTTCCAACCAACAGAGGAATTTCAAATAGTACATGATGACCAAGAGCTGCCCCATGGCCTCCACATCCGGATGAACATCAACACCGGCCAAAAAGAGGCCAAAATCAACGATCCGACTGAGAAGAACCCGGCGGTGGAGGGCTTGCCGGTAGATCGCTCGATTGTGGTTGTGGATGGCGAGGAGGTCCACGATGAACCGAGACTGCCCAAGGACGCTCCCAAGTACGACCCCGTCGGCGCAGTGAAGCAACCCCCTCAGGAGTCAAGCGAGTTCTACTCCCATCTCGATTACGTCAAGAAGGGCGCGAACGGGGCCGACCTCCCTATCGACGAGGCCCTGGAGTTCCTCGAGGACATTTCTCACGACATCTACTACGGCATGAAGATCACTGAGACGTTTGACACCGTCAAGTCCCTCCTCTGCCTTATGTCAGACCCTGAGACGCCCGCACCAATCGAGGGCGTCGTTCCCCGTGACCAGCAGGCCGCCTCCATCATCTCTGGCGCCCTGCAAAACAACCCCAAGGCTCTTGAGGAAGTGACCAAGGTGTGGCCTCAGCTTATGGACGCTTCATGCCCCGCTACCGAGACTAAGGGAGCCTCGAAGCTCCGAGACGACTTTTACGCCTCCTTCGTGCCGTCCCAAGAGAGCAAGCACGATGTCCTCCGCGCCGCAAACAAGGCCAAGGCTCATGTCGCCGCTGTCAGAGGTCTTCTGAAGAGCCCTACGATCCGTGACGACTTCATCGCCAACAAGGGCATGGACCGCCTTCTCGAGGTACTCGCGCCTGAAGATGCCCGCTGGGATACCGCTCAGCGCAAGACCGGCCAGCTTGTCCTCGATAGCTTCCTCGACGAGAGCATGGGAGCCGATGTCGGCGTGTGGCCCCTGTTCAAGGCGTCCGAGACGGATGCGTCCAAGAGAGTGGCTGATCGTGTCAGCGACGGCAACTGGAAGACGGCCGTGAAGGCCATCATGGAGAAGAACAAGGGAGACAAGAGCCATTGGAGCAAGGACCTGTATGACAGGTTGGATGCGCATGAGCAGACCCAGTTGAACAAGCTGGGAAAGCAGGAGTTGTAATGATTAGATGCACATATCACATTTTTAGACCCTATATACCCATGTTTTGACCATCAGACGATGGCTCTCATTATGACCTAACGAGCGATGACAGCGGCTTCTCATCTGTGTACGAATCTACTCAGAGGAGAAAGAAGTAGCGTAGGACATTCCCCGACCAGAAGGATGGGTTGCCGATGAAGCATCAACCTCTGCCATTCAAGCAATGGGGTTAACTTCAAGACTGTGCAATCACCCCCGGCGGGTCTAGCCCATGTGGAGGGCTAAGATAGGCGAGTGACAGATTGCATCATGAGCGGGCCAGTTTAGGTTTGGATTTCGTGCACCAAGCGGGGTTCTTTTTCCAATGTCAAATGCAAGACAGAGCATTCAAGTAGTCACAGAGGAAGGCAGCGAGTGAAGTTTTAGGTAGTTTTGGTATCTCCATGTCGTTTATTTCATTCCCATTTTGAGGCTCAAACTTTTTAGCGGACAACGATGTTGTATTGAACTATCATTGCCCAAACAACATGATAGTGGCCTTGCCATGCTACCAAAACCATTTCCCGTTTCGCCTTGATGTCCGTTGAATGCAAGAACCTCCCAAAGACAGCCCACAACCATCCTCTTACTTGAGAGGAATGAAACGAGAAGAGTGAGTAGCACCGATACCGGGTCTACCGTGCTTGACAGGCTTGCTGTAGGATTGTTAGAGAGCTGTTCCTGAAGTCCTTGCGCGGAGAGGGACGTACTAAGAGATAGAGAACTCAGCCAGGTAGTGGCCAACCATCTCAGGCTTGATCTCAACCTGGTTGAACTCCTTGCCGGAGTAGATACCAATGACGCTGCCAATCATCTCGGGGACGACGATCATGTCACGGAGGTGGGTCTTGACGAGGTCGGGCTTCTCGTTGGGCTTGGCCTCCTGCTTGGCCTTGCGGAGCTTCTTGATCAAGCCCATGGGGCGGCGCTTGAGACCGCGGTTGATGCGCCTGCGGGCACGGGCGTGGACGACATCGCGGAGCTGCTCGGAGTCGAGGTCAAGGAGACTGTGTGAGAGTGCATGTTAGCCTGGACGGTTCTGTGTCTTCGATGGCGGGTGCTTCGGCAGGTTCGTGGAATGGAAAGGCAGTGATGATCTCATCGTCGGGTCTCGAGGGATTCGATTGTGCGTGGGTGTGGACAGGCAGGTGGGATTTCTCAAGTGGGCAAAACGTACGCCTCAAGGTCAATTCCGCGGTAAGAGAACTTGCGGAACGCTCTTCTCTTCTTGATCTCGGCAGCCTCCTCGGCGTTCTGTATGGATCCCTCCAGTCAGCCAAAAAATTGTTCGATGCGGTTTGGTTGCGAAGTGGTCTCGTCGCGCCACCATTTCCTCCTCAATCCGCAGCCGCCACCGCCGCGACGGCGCGGTCTTTATCCATCGAAACCAGAGAGGGAAGACAGGGTCGCACGTACGTATTCGTCGTCAGCCATCTTTGCGGTGTTGTGAGGTCAGGGAATTCGCTGTCGATGCGGTCTATCGAGAGCGAATAAGCTGAAGTGCCGGTGCGGTTGTCGAAGTTTTGGGAGACGGGGCTACGGTCGCTTGGAGGTTTCGCTTGACTTGCACCAATGGCCCAAATTTGGCCCGTAGGGTTCGGTTGCCCTCCCCCCGCAGTCATGTGATTTTTTTAATCGAGGAAAAAAATTGGCAGTCGCGCGGTACGTACCGCGTCTTCGGGCACACTGCACGCTCTTTCTCGAAGCGGACGCTCGGGCCCCCCGTCCACGCCGCGCTTCACCTGGCCGTCTGCCCGTTCTTTGACATCACCGTCCCGCCGTGCCCAGGTCCACCTCGCCGTTGGATGCCCTGAATTTTGCATCCACAACTGGCGAACGCCGGTCGGGTCGGTACGGTCGGTGAGCTCGGTGAAGAGCAGCGTCAGACCAGCGTTCTTCCACACACCGAGTTAGGTTCTCTCCTCAGAGTGACCAGATGTTTTCCTCAACGGCTGGCCTTTGAAAGAAAGCACCGATTCTGAGCGCCTGGTGTTCTCGGGTCGAGATGTTGATGCTGATCCCAGTGTCGTAGCATGATCGCAGCTCGTATGCTCCAATTAACTGGAACAACGTTTCGTGGCCTAAGTGAGTCCACACATAAAGCAATTCTGACATACTACTGCGCCATCACTCTCTCCTGTGGAGACCTGTGTCCAGAGAAAAGAAGCCGTGAGAGATAACTTAGGATAACAACGACTTCATTTGACTCAAGAATGCCACGTTTGCTTCCTGCGCGCGAGCCTGGGGATGCAGCCCACACCATCTCTATGTCGCCTCGTTTGGTAATGTGTCCGCGATGAATAGTAAGGAACTCGGGTTTTGGATATTGTTGATAAAATCATCTGTATGACGAAGTGGGAACTCATACATATTCGACGACGCTAGAAGTTTGGTGTTCATGCTGCAACTCATGTTAGCATCGGAAAGGGGCTGCGGTTTTCACTGGAAAGGCTTCAAGCTTCTCAGAGTTCTAATCTCTTAAGCCCGACCGGGAACGACGCTGTTGTTTTCAAAGTCGCTCTCGTACCTATGGAGCCGGTTCGAGCAGCCTGAGTAGTCTTCAGCGTGCTCAAGACCGATCTCACCATGCATTGTACACTTGCCTGAGGCGTTGACAGGAGGCAGCACTTTCCGCTGGTGACAAAAAAAAGGTGAGAAGAGGCCGGCTGAAGGCGAAATTTGCTGGAGCGACCACCTGCCTTTCCCAACGTTCAATCTGCATCTCTTTCCCTCGCGACTCACCAAAGACGAACAGAAAGTTCACGAACGGGCATCATGGCATCTACCAAGGATAGCGGCCTCGGCCAGCTTGGTGGTGGGTTTCCCGCGGATCATATGAAGATGACCATGCTAACAATTCCAGCCATGTTTGAGCTGCGCTTCAAGCACATCTGCACCATGCACAGCAAGGGCGAGACTGAAGCTGCAGAAGCCAAGGCTCTGGAGCTTCTTGCTGAGCCGCGACTTGGACGTCTTCACAAGGCAGGAATGCACATGATACTTGCCACATCCGAGACCGACTTCGTTCATCACAGCCTTGAAGCTGTGAGACTCTTCGGCGAGGCCCTTCAGGAGCAAGATATTACTGAGGCCCAGCGAGCTTCTTTGGAGCACTGGCATGCTGAGGCCAAGAAATTGTCGGAGGAGGCTCGCAGCGATCAGAGCGCTATCGACAACGAAATCAATGAGAAACTGTAAGTAACTGTTTTTTTCTCTATCACTGTCCTCGTCCGTGTTCCCTTTCCTGTCCTTTCACTGACCTATGTCTAGGAAGAGTGGAATGACAATGCGTCAGATTCAGGATGCTCAGCTGAGCGAAATGTACGAGCGTCTGGCGAGAATTGGCGAGGAGGAAGGCGCATCCGCAGAGACCTCGACGGCGGCTCCTTCCGACCAGGACGCAGAATTATGAAAGTTCGGAACAGAGAGGCGCGAGAGGTTAAAGGGCCTTGTTTTTAGTTGATGTTGAGGAAGTTTCGAGCCCACCCAGTAGGGGTTTTCACAGTAGGGGAAAAAGCAGTAAAAGCACCTCGGTCAGTGCCCAGTCCAGTAGCTTCGCAGTATACGTACCCAAGGGTCCGGAATAACTGCCCGCGCCGACCCCAACTCGCCCATTGTGGCTGTCAGCCTCGTTGACGATGGCTTCGTTGCCAGCAAGGTTAACAGCCTCGCCCGCGTGACTCACGAGCGAGACACGTACCAGAGATGGCTTCACAAGGTCTTCAGCCACGGAAAAGCTTGTCTTGGCCACGTACTTAAGACGCCGCTCGCGCCAAGCCTCGAGCCCATTCCTCACCCTCAATCTCAAGTCAATACCACCAAAGCAAACCACCCAGATTCCTTCACGATGTGTTCCATCCTGCCCGATCCATGGGATCTCATGCCGCAAGGCTTTGCCCGAGGCACGCCCCAAGACACCAAGATCGATACCAACCACAGGGCCAGGCTTGCGGCGATCAGCAAGACGACGCCCTTCAATATGCAGAGCCCTAGGGACCAGATGGCTATAGCCAGGTCCTGCCTCGAGGTCCTAGAGGCTAACCTCAGCGGCGACAGCGCGGAGGCTGCCCGCCTGCTTCGGCAAAGCCTCTCGCTCGACGATGTGGACGCGTTTGCTGCTGATCCTGGCATTTGCGCCTACTTTGACGACGTCCTTGGTAGGGCGGCGTAGCCAGTAAGTTGACCAGGCCAACTGCTGCTTGACATCGCGGGCGTTGCTGACGAATGTAGACTGCAAAGACGTTAGCCTAGTCGACAGAAGGCTTAGACAGATGCAGCGTAGGCGGCGGAAAAGACGGCTGAGCTGACAGAGGGTGTGCGTGAGGGTCGGTAGATAGGTCGGAAGGCTGGAGAAAGTCTGCTGTAGTAATTGAACCCAGTCAAAGTCGTGAAGTTGTTGTCGAAGTGACGTTGAAGGTGATGAGATTGTGATGGCGCACCTAAGCGCGTGTGGGGGAAATGGGGCCGAAGAGATGGCGATCTGCGGGACTGTCTGGCCGAGCAGAAATCCAGGGCGATCACGTGACCAGTAGGCCGTTAGCTGAAGGGTGAAGTCGGAGGTCGTTGCAGTACAGGTTCCAGGTAAAAGTCACAGTAGCTGGCCAGAGGCCGTTTTTAGTTGATATCGAATGGATAACCAACTTGAGCGCCGCGGCCATGTAATGAAACTGTGCATGAAAATGAAGCTGTGAATCCGACCAGCCGTCCATCCAATCCGTAGCCTAACTGTGGACTACTTGAATGAGAGGGAGATAGCACTGAGCTTACATGTACGATTAATACAATAGATGCGACAGAAGTACTGTCAGTTACTTTTGCTAAATGATCACGCTCAAGGCATGAGATGAGGCTGATGTTGGCAATCAATGCTTATATACGGCCAGCGGTGCTCCAAGCACCTGGCTGAAGTAGGTATGTATGTACGAGAAGCGCTCAAAAACTATTTACTGCTGGAAAAAAAGGCATGTACTGTTCTTCCCGACGGGCGAAAGTAGCCAGCCCCTGTCCTTTGGGCCGGCGTCCGGTATGTACACCCTCCACAACACCTCGCCTCAGATAAGGTCGACGACCACTCAACCACGCCTTCCATTCGTAACTCTTTCCTGGTATCTGATGGATGCTTTTTCTTGCTGGACCCACTTAAATGCTCTTGAAAACGTTCAAGCTCGACAGTGCGTTGCCCGGGTACGAAAACATCGTGTTTGACGAACAGCTTGATCCCAACGCCTGGTTATCAACCCCTACATCAAATAAGTCAGTATAACTTCATCTAGAGGTTAAAAGGGGCTACGAACAGGCCGGTTCCCAATACCAGATTCCCTTTCCGTTGCTTATTCCTGCAACAACGGCCGCAAGTCTCGTCATAAAGGTCGTCTGTCCGGCCGCGGAGAACGGGATGTCCTTCAGGTCGCTCGGGAAGGCGTACTTCGGGCTCGGGCACGCCGTAGGCCAGTTCGTCTCGGCAACGACAATCTCCTTGCCCCACTTGCTCGCCATGTTGGTCAAGCTCGTCTTGAGGGAGGCCAGAGTGGCGGCGCTGTTGTAGAAGGGGTAGTACGAAACACCCATCATGTCGAAGTTGGCAAGAGTCAGCTGGTTCTGCGCCAACATGTTGGTGTACCACGTGTTCTGCGTGTTCCAGTCCCAGCCGTTGTCGAGATGGATCATGATCTTGGGCTTGGGGCTGAGGGTCGAGTCCTTGATGCCGAAGGCGGCCGAGTTGAGCAGGCGGGCGACGTTGTACATGTTGGACGTGCGGCCCGTCTCGAAGAGCAGACCGGCGCGGATCTCGTTGCCGATGCTGATGATGGCCGGGGGCACGCCGGCGCTCTGGAAGGCGTTGCTGACCTGCAGCGTGTAGTTGTACAGGCGCCAGCTGAGGTTCTCAATGTCGGTGGGCCAGCCGGACGGGATGCCCTGCTTGCTCGGGTCCGCCCAGGTGTCGCTGAAGTGCAGCGTGAGGTAGACGGAGAGGCCCTGGGCCTTGGCCCGCTTGGCGAGGGCGAGGTTGTAGTCGAGGTTGTAGTCGCCGTTTGAGGGGTTGACCCAGACGCGCTGGCGGACCGAGTTGACGCCGGCGCCCTTGAGGATGACCTCGAGCGACTGCGAGGCGCCGGCCGAGTTCTTGTAGTTGATGCCGGCCTTCTCCTCGATGGTGACCGAGGACCAGTCGGCGCCCTTGTAGGTCAGGGCGGCGTTGGCCGCGGAGACGGCGAGGAGGAAGACGGAGGCTACGGAGGCGAGCATCTTGGCGGGCTTGTCCTTTCGGATCGGAGATCGGATCTGCTCTGGGGTATCCGCTGGGCAAACCGAGAAAACAAAAAAAAGGGGGGAAGACGAACTGGAAGAGAGACGAAGAGGAAGTCTTCGCCTTTCGTCTGGTCTTCAGGAGTGGTATATACAGCAGTTCAGGACTCGCCATCAACACCAAGCGCCATCAACCCCTTTCACCCCTTCATCTCCCTAATTGATGGGATCCCAAGAACTCCATCAGGGCCTTTCTCCATCTTTCCCGAACTACCGGAGCAATCATGGTAAACTGCAACTCATCAACTAGGCGCCTCGACGGGGAGCGGGAAGGCGTGTAACCCAGTTTCTCGTATAGCAACCCCCATCCCTGTCGATATGTCGACCGTTAGAGTGACAGACAGAGGAGCTGACAGGCATCCCTCTGCTTCAGACATATTGCCCGCAGCTTTAACGAGCAATACCGGACTGCTGACCACACGCAAAGGAGTCTAGCTCCCGCCTGCCAGCGAGCAGCGGCACTACCGCCAGCAGAAAAACCCAACTTTGACAGCCAAACAGGCGCTGACGTCCGCTTGAACCACAGTGGAGTCGGTCGACGACCTGCTCAGCCGGCTTGACGTTTCATCGCGCTACCTCCTGGGAGGAGGTCCCATGAGGAACATCTCGACTCCTCCAATCAGCAGAATGTTTCTCCACAGTTTGCTGCCGTTCCTAGAGACTTAGCGAACGCTCTTTGGGAGTTCCTGCCGAGTAGCGGTATTCAGCACCCCCCTGTCTGTTCTTCGGCACCCTCTTAAGCCTAATCGGGCATCTTTTAGGGTATCACAGTTATAAATAAAAATTAACAGTAAGCTATATTAGAATAATTATTATATAAAGTAACTTATATAACGCTTTTATTTATTTATTAATTAACTACTAAAGTAGCTAAAGTAGCTCTAAAACTACTTAAATTACTTAAAACTATTTTATAGAAGCTTTAGAAGTAGTAGTAGTAATAATACTTACTAAATATATTACTAATAATACTACTATTAATTTAAAAGCTATAGAAGTATTAAGTAATACTAGCTTAGCTATATTAACTTAAACTAAAACTAAAGTAATAATTAGTTATAGTTTTAGTAAAGTAAAAGCTAAAAGATTAGAGAAAGTAGTAAGTAATAAAAAACTAATAATAGTAATACTTATTATATAGTAAATAAGGAGATAACTTAATTAAATTACTACTAAATTAATATATTAACTAAAGCTTATATTAATACTTATAACTAAGTAGTAAGAGCTTTATTAGCCTTCTCTATAGCTATTTTTCGCTTTTTTTATAGTTATATAATTAATATAGTTAATAATAATATAACTAATAGTATAAGCGTTAGTACTATACTTTACTCTTAGCTAAAAAGCTTATAGTATATTAATATATTATAAAGGTTAATAACTATTAGTAAATTAAAGCCTTTAAAAGGCTATATAAGCTTACTAAAAAGTATATTATTATTATTAATAACTAGCACTACCTACTAGTAGTTAATATAGTTCCTAATAATATTAGGGTTAAGTTTATATATTACTTTATAAAGAGTAATAATCTTAGGTTAAAAATATAGTATTAGTTATTATTTTAACTAAAATAGTAGATATAAATAAACTAAAGTTTAATCTAGCTATTAATAGTAGTTAGTATTATTATATATTAATAGACGCTTAGTATTATAACTCTTAAGGTAGTTAAGAAGGTTATAGTAGTAAAATAGCCCCTACTACTTTAAAAAAGAGCTAATATAATATAAGAAGCGCTATATATATAATTTATTAAGGAAAACCTTCTATACTACCTTAAACTATACTTAAATTATATTAAATACCTTAAAACTAACTTAAAATACTAAATTCTATATTATAGATATATTATAATAGGTAGGTTTAAACTAAAGTTTCTTATTACTAATATAATTATAGTAGTAGTATTATTTATACTTTACTATATTAATAATAGCTTTATAAAGCTTATAGAGGTTAGAGAGATAGTTATATAAATAACTCTTAAGCTTTATATAAGCTAACTTAATATATAATATAACTTTAATACTATAATTATATAGATTTTTTACTATATACTCTATAAACTACTAATAAAAAAGAAAATAGGTTTTAGAGAGG